AGATCTATGGAGAACAGAAGAATTCATGACCAAACAGGAGATAGAGAACATTATGAAAAGCAAAATGGATAATTTTGATTACATTAAATTGAAAAGTTTTTGCACAAACAAAGGCAATGCAACTAAGATTAGAAGGAAGGTAGAAAATTGGGGAAGAATTTTTACAACCAGTCTCTCTGATAAAGGCCTCATTTCTAAAATATATAAAGAATTAAGACAAATTTATAAGAACACAAGCCATTCCCCAATTGATAAATGGTCAAAGGATATGAACAGACAGTTCTCAGATGAAGAAATTAAAGCCATCTATAGTCATATGAAAAAATGCTCTAAATTGTTATTGATTAGAGAAATGCAAATCAAAACAACTCTGAGGCACCACATCACACCTATCAGATTGGCCAACATGACAAAACAGGAAAATGATAATGTTGGAGAAGATGTGGGAAAATTGGAACACTAATACATTGTTGGTGGAGTTGTGAAATGATCCAACCATTTTGGAGAGCAATTTGGAAATATGCCCAAAGGGCTACAAAAATGTGCATACTCTTTAATCCCAGCAATAGCACTTCTAGGGCTATATCCCAAAGAGATCAAACAAATGGGAAAAGGACCCACATGTCCAAAAATATTCCTAGCAGCTCTTTTTGTGGTGGCAAAGAATTGGAAATTGAGAGGATGCCCATCAATTGGGGAATGGCTGAGCAAGTTGTGGTATATGAATGTAATGGAATACTATTGTGCTATAAGAAAGGATGAACAGGCTGACTTCAGAAAAACCTGGAAAGACTTATATGGTCTGATGCTGAGTGAAGTGAGCAGAACCAAGAGGACTTTGTACACAATAACAGCCACGTTATGCAATGACTAAGATTGTTAAACTGAACCCTTCTCAGCATTGTGAGGATCTAAGACATCTCCAGAGGCCTTGGGATGGAAAATGCTGTCCACATCCAAAGAAAGAACTATGGAAGTCAAATCGCTATCACTTATTTTTACCTTCTGTTGAGTTTTGTTTCATCTTTCTGATGGTTCCTCCTATTGGTTTTAATTTGTACTTACAACTTCACTGATGTGAAAATATGTTTAATGGGTATGTAAATGTAAAGCCTATATCAGATTGTGTGCCATCTTGGGGAGGGTAGGGGGGAGGAAGGGGGAGAAAAATTTTCAACTCAAAAGCATATGGAAGTGATTGTTGATAAATCAAAATAAATTAATAAAAAAAAACACTGAAAAAAAAAAGAAACATATGTCTCTGAGGCCATTTTCAGAATAGAGTAATCAAGCCTAGAAATATTTCTTGCCTTTCCTTTGGCATATATTTGCAAAAGTTAAGTTTTATTTGGACAAAGTAATGTTTCTGTGTTTTGCTTCATAAGGAAATAAAACATTTCTAATGTAGTGGCTAAGAAATGGAAAAATTGATAGTACTCTATAAAATCACCAAGTTTCGCTTAATTTCTTTGAACCCAATTTTCAGACAGGCCTTTTGATAAAGGAAAACCCAAGTCAGGGGGTGGGGTTGGAGAAAAAGCCCAGGGCTTACTCACTTGATGTTGTCAGGGCCACATTTACGACCTCTTGTGCCTTCAGGAAAGGCATTCTTTGTATATTCTTTTTTGTACATGTGCATGGGACCTGGATTTTGCAGCAGCTACCTAAAGCCAATTATAGGCAGCTTCCTGTTTTCTCAAATGTAAAAAGAAATAAGAAACTGGGTGCTGGCAGTGGAGGTGGAGACCTGAAGAACACTTGTTCTTCCCTTGCAACCAAGGATATATGCAGATGAATCAAAGTGTTTGTGTGCAAAATCAGATAAGAATAAAAATACTGTTGCTATAAAAAGGACTCCATTTCAGGAGAACATAAGATTTAGAAGTCTCCAGAAATAAAGTTTATATGTTTCTCCTGTCCTTGGCTATGGTAACAAATCCAGATTGTCTGAGGTTGGCTGTTCTAACTGGCTAAGTAATTGGAGCCAATTTGTCAAGTTCCTGAGATAACACCTCAGAGCATGCATGTGTTGGTGTAGTTTTAGGGTCTCTCTGGGTTTCAGGTTCATAATGACAGTCCGAAATCGCAAACTCTCTCAGAGGCTCCTTGGAATTAGCTAAAATCTTATAATTGGACTAGGCCAGAAAGGACCTTTCAGAATACAAGATACAGGCCTGGGGTTAGCCCAGGGTTTGACTGACTAATTTGCCAGCAGTGATTCACCTTGTCTGATGCTACAACTTATTTATTCATTCAACAACTATCTGCTGAGTATCTAGACTCTAGACCAGGGGTGGGGAACCTGTAGCCTCGAGGCCACATGTGGCCCTCTAGGTCCTCAAGTGCAACCCTTTGACTGAATCCAATGTTTGGCCACATGTGGCCTGGAGGCCATAGGTTTCCCCCCCTGTGGTCTGGATTAATACAGAATTTTAAAAAAATGAATAAAACTCAGTCCTGATCATAAGAAGTTTACAACCTCTTAGAAGAATTACAACATGAACATAAATAACTCATAATGCCAAAGAAACTATAAGTATTTGATCAGTGTTAAAAGAGTTCACAGATGGCAGAAATCTCATCTGTCAAGGGAATGACGAATAGCTTGATTGAGGAAAGTAGTATCTGATCCTAACTTTGAAGGATTGGTAGATTTCCACAGTAGGATACTGAGCTAAGAAATTATTTCATATAGGGAAGAGCCAAAAAAAAAGGAAGATAGTATGTGGTGAGTACAGTTTGGAAGGAGTGTTCTAAGTCGATATGAAAGAGAGCAGTGAAAAGACAAGATTGGAAAGATGGAATAAAGCCGCATTTCAGGAGGCCAAAAGTGAATGAATGAATCACACAAGACCTAGCAGTAGTGACCCTAAAAGACTGCAGGTCTTGGGACGCTATATATCCAAGAGTGAAAGAACTGGGGTTCATGCCCAGCAAAACTAAACATAATCCTGAATGAAAAAAAAATGGATATTTAATGAATTGTCAGATTTTCAGGACTTTGTTAAAAAAACAAATCAACCTGACTTAATAGAATATTTGACATATAAGAGCCAAGAGAAATATAAGGTACATACCAAAGACTAATTACAGGGGACTCAAGGACAGATTGTTTATCTTTTATGTATGTAAAAGGTATGTCTAAGATAGTTATTAGTAATTGGATATTTCTTAAGAAAGATTGGGGTAAGGGGCAGCTAGGTGGTGCAGTGGATAGAACATTGGCCCTAAAGTCAGGAAGACCCGAGTTCAAATCTGCCCTCAGACCAAACACTTGACACTAGCTGTGTGACCCTGGGCAAGTCATTTAACCCCAATTGCCTAAGGGAAAAAAAAAAAGAAAGATTGGGGTAAATCTGAGTATGATGTGACTTTAAAAAAATAAAACTGTTTAGGATTGGCTAAAAAGAGTAATTATCTTTTACAAATGAGGTACTGAGAGGAAGAACCTACACAGAGGAATTAGCTGGGGGAGGAGAGCTGTTAGTTCTGGAAACCTACTTTCATTGGAAATGGGTTCAAGAGGAAACAATACATATACATCTAGAAAGTGCTTCTTTAACTGTGGGTCGCAACCTCATATTTTTTTTGACAACAGCAAAAGGTTTCTGAATGTTCAATGACCAAAAAGTAATTCAAAATCAAATGTGTAATGAATCCCAGCTGTTTCTGGGATTTTGCATTGTGCAATTTCACTTGCAACCTTGGTTCTGAACACAAAGCATGAGTACTTTGCACTGTGCATGCCCTCAGGTCACGCAATACCCACAAATGCTGCTGAAATGCGGAAAAAGGGTCTCAAGTGGAAAAGGTTTAGGAAGCCCTGATCTAGAAGAGTATAAAGGGCTTCTAAATTTATAAAGAAATAAAACACTAAGGGGATAAGGAGGGGGAGAAAATAAGGAAGGATCTCTAGACAGGAGGGTGAGGGAAGGGTGTTTAGATTAACTGGAATGGGAGGATAAGGAAGTGATCTTTGGAGGGAGGCAGATTAAGTAATAGGAGGACAAGGCAGCAGGTAGAAGTAAAGTAGAGGAGTTAGGAGGGATAGGAAATAAGAGATATGCACGAACATAAAAACAAAGCTCAGAAGCAGAATTTGTTAGGGAAAGTATATATTTATATATGTATGTATATGTGTGTGTATATACATATACATATATATGTATGTAATATATAATATATTTTATATATATAAATGTATCCATGCTTAATTGTAGCCTTGGGAGGGGGAAAAAGGGGAGAAAAGAACAAAGTAAAAAGTGCACAGCAGAGAACAAAAGAAAGCTTACAAGGAAGCAAAAAAAAAGATGAACAGTTCTCAACACAATGCATAGTGTTTATTACACAGATTTTCTTGAAATGGAAATTTATTGCTATATATTTTGAATCCTCACATTCTGCTGTGCACATGACATTTTTTTCTTTTCTTATTTTGTATTTAAGTTTATAATGTTTCTTTTTCTATTGTGTATTTAAGTTTTAGTATTTAAGTCTAAAATTTTAACAAAGTGAATGAATAATTAAAGGAATTAATGGAAAAAATTATTAAGCTCTTATTATGTGCTAACCCAGGTCAGGTGCCCTTTTGGTAGATATGGGAATCCAGAAGGATTTTTGAAAAATCTTGTTTGACCAAAATATTGTTTAATCATTGAGGTACATCCACATTCACCCTATTTTTTGACATCTTTGCCCATAACTTTGCCATCTTTAAAAAGCAAGTGAAGACTTAATAGGATTATAGTAAAGGTTATTTAGTTATATTTTTAATGCCTTGAAGCACAGAGAATGAGGGCAATTACTTTTGTAGACCAACTGATGTGCATACTTTCTAGCGTTTCTCTTTTAAGAGAGTCACATAATTACTCTATATCTCAATTTCCTCGTCTGCAATTTGGAATGATCAGGCTTATATTGCATACCTGATCAGGCTATGAAGAGAATATTTGTAAAACTGTACTACATAAATATGATTTATGTTTGTTTTTTTTTAATAGGATCACAAGACGCTGCTCATGATTTAGACACATTGAAAAAACACAAGGTAAAAAATATCTAAAATTCAGCATTTTCATTAGTGTTTCACATCTATTTCAAGAAAAAGTACATAATTCAGTATTTAGTAAAATTCTAGAATTTAATAAATAATCTTTTCCCATGATTTAAATGTGGCTAAAATTTGCCTGCCTAATCTAAATATATTGAGTTGTGTGTTTATTGGGAGTTTCAGATTTTTGTTAGAACTTGGATCATCTATTAAGAAGGAAAACTATTAAATTCATGAACCCGGTCATTTTTAGACTTTTTAAGTGAATTCAAAGTGTTTGTTTAAACAGATTTAATTTGTGACTTATTGGAAAAAAGATTTATTTGAATTTTTATAAGTATTGCCTCCATCAGTATGTTTATAGAATGATAGGATGACGCAAAGTTTGAAGAAAATACACGGTTTTAGCTATAGTGACAAATAAGACTATGAATTAGCATATTTTTAGTGTTCTATTTTTAAAGCTGGGGATGCTAATTTAATTCCAGTCTACTAAAACAGACTGAGTAACTCTTTAAAAAAAAGTGCTGTTAATTTCTATGTCCAGTTTTATCAGTGAACCAAAGGAAGTCTGGCTAGGGTCTGAAGAACTGGATAGGAAGCTTACAGAGAAATTGAAGGATAACATAGGAAATCAAATAGGGTGATTTTTCTATGTCACATTTTGAAGCCAGTAGCTCTATGTATAAAATAATAATTTATGTTTGTATAATGCTGAACAGGTTTTCAAGATGTTTTCCATTACATTATCCTATTTGATCTTCATATTAACTGTGTAAGGTAAACAGGGCTATTGGTGATATCCTCATTTTCCATATGAGGTAACTGAGATAAATAAGTTGAGTGATTAGCCCAGGGTCACACATCTAGTAAGTGGAAGAGGCAGGATTCAAACCTGGTATTTCTTTACTTCTTTCTTTTTTGGTGAGGCAATTGGGGTTAAGTGTCTTGCCCAGAGTCACACAGCTAGTGAGTGCTATCCATCTGAGGCCGGATTTGAACTCAGGTCCCCTTGACTCCAGGGCCGGTGCTCTATCCACTGCACCACCTCACTGCCCCTAAACCTGGTATTTCAGATATAAAACAGTGCCATTCTAGGACAATTTTTACCCTGTGGAAAATCATTTTCAGGAATTTCTATATGCCAGACCATTTCCTTGAATTTATATTTTGGGGAGTTGGATATATCTCCTTAATGTTCCCTTTATTAATTAATCAAATATGATTAAATTTGAGGTCAGAGGATCAGTATCCAAATTCTGGTTCTAATACCTGTGTGACCTTGGGAAAGCCATGTTACTTCTCTGGGCATGTTTCTTTATATGTAAAATGATATGATGATAAAGTGATAAAATGATAAAATAATCAGATAATTTCTAAGTCACTTCTACTTCTAAATCTGTGATTCCATAATTTATCAGGTGTGCATTATGTGTCTGACACCATTTACTAAGGATAGGTCCTTAGATACCCTAAGTCTTTTAGGGGCTACAAGCCTAATACACACATAACAGTGGGCGACCTATTTAAGACTGCATATATTTAAAGGTTAAACTGTGTGACTGACTTGAAATTCAGTGGGAGAAAAGAGAAAGCAAAATCACTGTGGTGTAGAATATTCAGGGAAAACCTCATAAACAATGGAATTTGAGTTGAATTTTAAAAGATGGATAGGATATGGACAAGCAGAGGGACTAGGGGAAAAAGGAAGGCCTACAAGCTCTATTCCCAAATATTTTTGCTCCCTCTTCTTTTTCCCACTTTGATCTTATTTGTATAATCTTTCCTAAGGAGAAGATTAGAAAGAAGGATTTTGGCATTCTCTTTCTTTCCCCCTTCTACAAGGTGGTTAGGAGAGTTGTAAACATTTAGGTGCCAACTCTTTCTTAAAAGTACTTTCCATAGGCATATTTGAAGAAGGCATAAAGTCAATGGCAACTTTTCCCCTTATCCTTTATTTCAAAGGAACCAAACCAAGAAAGGAACTAAACTGATAAGTGGTAAAGCTTTACTCTTCAGTAAGGCCTGACTATTAGAATATACTGACTTTGTAGTATTTGCTTTGCCCAACTCCCCTAAGAATCAAACAGTGAAGAGCTCTAGAAGAGAACCAGTCAATGAATTTTGAGAGAAATAAATGCACGAGTTCTAGAAGGATTTATCCCCATGAATAATCCTTTGAGTAGGAGCAAAACTTAGAGGTGATTGAAATTTGTAATTTCGTGTACAAATCATTATATCCACAATTCATGATTGTTCACAGGGAAAACTTGTGTTTGAGAGTTTATAGCATAATGACCTTCTAGTATCTAAATAAAAATGTTTGTCATAGACACTAGATTGATAACATAGAGAATTATTACCAAATGACAATACTGTGGTTAACAACTGTTTAATGATTATTTCTCTCAACCCTTATTTTCCTGAGATTGTGATTCATTTTCCTGGTCCAGTTAATCTTTGAGACCTCAAAAGGTGTTGTACTTGGGAAAATGATGGGAATAAGTCTGGCCTTTCTGTATAGGTGGAGTAGATTGTCTCTTATTGGTGGTTATTATTTCCAAGGTTCCAAGGTGATCTCTTTCCCTCTTCACTGGTAGTCTATCATTAATAAAACAATGTATTGACTTTTTCTTAAGCAGGCTCTTGGATCCTCTTTAAAAATACTCCTGGGAGGGGCAGCTAGGTGGTGCTGTGGATAGAGCACCGGCCCTGGATTCAGGAGACCTGAGTTCAAATCAGGCCTCAGACACATAACACTTACTAGCTGCATGACCCTGGGCAAGTCACATAACCCCATTGCCTAAAACAAACAAAAACAAAACAAAAAAAATAAAAATACTCCTGGGAGACCGGGGTAGATTTAAAGTACTAAATACCTGATAAATGAGCAATAATTGAAAACTTAGGAAGAGTCCATTCCTTTATGACTGTGTGGTTAAGTATGGATATAAGAAGAAAGTATTAGTAGGGTAAAGACAAATTTTCCCTTATTCCACATTTCCCCCAAATATTATTCCTTTGGGTAAATAGAATATGTATCCCTTTATGTTTTTTATAGTTTTATTAATAGAGCTATGTAATTTATTTCCTAGTTGTTTTTTGTTGTAGTTGAATTTTTAGACACATTTTGTTTTGCCCATTTAAGGATTATTTAAGATGTACTTATTTTTAATGGGTCTAATATCTCACTGTAGAAATTCACAAACTCATTCACATATTCTTATCCTGTGTTACTAAACTCTACAAGTTCTAAAATTTATCTTTGTGTTTCTTTTTAGGTTACTCATATTCTCAATGTTGCCTGTGGAGTTGAAAATGCTTTCCTCAATGACTTTACATATAAGAACATTTCTATCCTGGATCTACCTGAAACCAATATCATATCTTATTTTCCAGAATGCTTTGAATTCATTGAAGAAGCCAAATTGAAGGTAAGGACAGCTAAGTGGTGCAGTGGATAGAGTGTTGGACCTAGAGTCAGGAAGATTTGAGTTTAAATACAGCCTCAGGTGTTTACCAGTTGTCTTACTTTGTAAAATAGGGACAATAGTAGCACCAACTGACCAGGGTTTCTGTGAGGATAAAATAAGACAGTATTTGTAAAGTGTTTGCAGATTTTAAAGCACTATATCAATGTTAAGTTATTATCATTATTATTTTGGTATATAGTTTATCAAAGAAAAAGTCAGAAATATAACACCACCTATCTTAAATGAATCACAAGATTTCTCTCAAAACATTTAATTCATCCATATTCCTCATGATTCTCTTTCTTGTGCTTCCTGTTGCATTTTTCTCCACAATAGAATACCTAATTTTTAGATTTAATCTGATTCTCCTCCACTTCCTGTACACCAGGGGCTAATGATACTCTTCTGAGAAACTTCAGGAGGTAAACATCTCCATATGTTAAATTCTTCAATCGAAATATGTAGATAACTTCTCTTTGAAAGCTTATGACAAATGGACTACTGAATAACAGAAACAAGCTAACTCTGTTACAAAGTCTGCTTTAGGCCTAATAGTGCATTTATCAGTATGACAGTATGACTATTTCACCACTATAGGAAAGAAAAGAGAATTGTTGCTATTTTAATGTAACATTTCAGGACACTCTGGGAACTAAATGTGTGTACTACATTTATGAACTAGTCTGCTGTAATGTAGGATTTAGGGGATTTCTACTGAAGAGCATGTAAACTGAAATTTTCTTTTGACACTAAGAAAACCACTGAGAATATTAATACAACTGTGTCAATCTTTTGCTCACTAACTGGGTACTAATACTGTATTGGATCCAAGTTAAGATTCTGATAGTCAGGGAACTAGGTGGGTTATTGTCTATAGTAACAATTACTGCATCATTTTTGTGAGCATACTTTCCTCATAAGTAAGGGGCATGGTGGTAGATATAGTTTGTGGTTGGTGAAACAGAGTCATTTATAGTGAACCAAAGTGACTTTCTTGGAGTATTATAGGATTAGGATTTAGAATTCATTATATAATATCTTATTCACCAGTCTTTGCACTAGGTTTCCTTGGATATCAATTAATCAATCAATAAACATTTGTTAAGTGCCTGCTATGTGCCAGGCACTGTGCTAAGCACTGGGAATTTAAAAATCTAGAAAATCTTTTAAATATGGTTTTCCATATCTCCTTTACTCAATGGTAATCAGTTGGAAAGCATCAATGAAGAAAACTTTGTTCAGAGCTGAAGGCAGGAGAACTGTGCCCTTCAAACATTTTGTTACAACTCTAGGATTGTAACATTAAAAGGGAAAGACCCTGCAGTGGGGGGAAACCTGAGACTTCAAGGCCACATGTGGCCCTGTAGGTCTTCAAGTGCAGCCCTGTGACTGAATTCAAACTCCATAGAACAAATCCCCTTCATAAAAGGATTTGCTCTGTAAAACTTGCACTCAGTCAAAAGGCCGCACTCAAGGACCTAAAAGGCCACATGTGACCTCAAGGCCACAGGTTCTCCACCCCTGCACAGTGATAGAAATACTAAAAAAAAAAAAAAGCTGAAGTGCTTTATAATTTGGCACTCCTACACAGATATTAAGGGGGGAAATGAAGAAATACATTCTTATCAATTATTATAAAAATATGGATATCAAAGTTAAAAGTTGAACACAGTAAAGTCTAGAATAGGGCAGGAGACATTAAATTGTGAATTATGGTGGCTTATCTAGTTCATTAAGGTTAAATTTCTTCCTTTTAAGCAATGGGTTCTGTTTCTATTTGAGAGCATTAGTTTGTTCTAGGAAATAAATATTTTGGTTTGGTGCTGCAATGTAGACATTTCCTAATCTGTCCAGCTGATTTATTTAAACAAAAGTTTGATATTAACACTGAAATTCATGAATTTGATAATTATTATTCCCTGATGTGGATATTATCCTCTATTCAAGTCTTTACCTATAGAATATTGTCGTAGAGTCATAAAATCTAAAAGCTAAAACAGACTTCAAAGGTTATCTAATTTAATTTGCTCATTATACAGATGAGGAAACTGAGGACCAGAGAGAGGAAATGACTTAGCCAAAGTCAATACCTACTTAGTTGTAGAGCAAACGGTTAATTCTTGATTTCTGCTCTCTGATTACCTTCCTTTAAAGCTACCTTTCCAATCTTTTCTCCATTTCTTCCAAACTTGTTTCTTTGCTGAAGTCTTACAAAGCTCTGTGAGTTTGCTTTTTCTACCTTTATGCTTGCCCAGCCTAATAGGGTATTTAGCCAACTTAAGCATGAAGGCTAGAGGAATAAAAGATGAAAATAAACCACAGAAGTGATAATCATCCAGCCTCCAGACATTTATTTGGTGTTTTTTTAAATAATATTTTATTCCCTACCCTATTACCTGTTAAAACAATTTTTTTAACATTAAGAAAAAGTTTTGAGTTCCAAATTCTATCCTTTTCTCCCTCTTTCCTTCCCCTCCCTCCTGCCTGATACAGTAAGCAATTCAATATAGTTTATACTTGTGTAATCATGTAAAACATTTCCATATTAATCATTTTGTGCAAGAAGACAAAAAAAATGAAAGAAGGAAAGGGAAAAATAGCATGCTTCAGTCTGTATTCAGACAGTATTAGTTCTTGCTCTGGAGGAGGATAGTATGCTTCATTATGAGTCCTTCGGGGTTGTATTGGATCATTGTGTTGCTGAGATTAGCTAAGTCATTCACAATTCTTCATTATTCAGTAGTGCTGTTACTCTGTACAACTGTTCTGGTTCTGCTCACTTCCCTTTGCATCAGTTCATGTAAGTCTTTACAGGTTTTTCTGAAGTCATCCTTGCTTGTCGTTTTTTATAGCACAGTAATATTCCATCATGTATACCACATATATATGTATATTAAATATACACATTTGTATATATATGTATGCATACACACACATATATATCTCTATCTCTATCTATCTATCTACCTATCTATCTATCTATCTATCTATCTATCTATCTATCTATCTATCTATCTACCTATCACAGCTTGTTTAGCCATTTCCCAATTGATGGGCATCCTCTTGATTTCCAATTCTTAGCCACCATAAAAAGAGCTGCTATAAATATTTTTGTACAAATAGGTCCTTTTCCCTTTTTTTTTAAAAATGTTTTTGGGATATAGACCTAGCAATGGTATTGCTGGGTCAAAGAGTATGCACAGTTTTATTGTCCTTTGGGCATAGTTCCAAATTGCTCTTCAAAATAGTTGGATCAATTTATGACTCCATGGACAGTGTATTGGTGTCCCAGTTTTCCCACACTCCCTCCAACATTGATCATGTTCCTTTTTTTTTTGTCATTTTAGCCAATCTGATAGGTGTGAAGTGGTACCTCAGAGTTGTTTTAATTTGCATTTCTCTAATCAATACTGACTTAGAACATTTTATCATATGGTTATACATAGCTTTGATTTCTTTGTTTGAGGACTGCCTATTTAAAGCCTTTGACCATTTACCAATTGGAGAGTGACTTGTATTTTTATAAATTTAACTTAGTTCTCTATATAGTTGAGAAATGAAACCTTTATCAAAATACTTTGGTGTTCTTTTAAGGAACCGAAACCAACCTGGCCTTTCCTTCTATAAAAAACAAACAAATAAATAAATAAATGATTGATTGAGCAAACTGCATTTGTCCTTTCTACCTATTTATTGTTGACTCAGGACAAAAGATCAGGAATTTTAAAAGTATAGTTTAAAGAAACATCATAGGGTATTATAGAAAATGTGTTGAATTTATTAGCGTACTTTTCAAAATTCTTCAGATTGTCTCAGATTCCTGTATCTCCCTGGGCATTTAATATTTAGAGTTCTCTGACTCAGATGTTGATATGGCAAAAAGTGAGTTCTACCACCATTTTGGATTGCCTATACTAATGCTTGCCTCCATCAAACATACATAATCAAGAGTTGACTATAGTTGAAAAACATGCCATCAGCACATTAATTTTCAGTACCTCAAAACAAAAAGCAGCATGGAAAAATATTATGTTCAATTTTATAAATCCCCAATGTAAAATTAAGAATTATAGTCCATCAATCATCAAAAAGCATTTATTAAATAACTATTCTGTGCTAGGTGCTTGGGATAAAAGATGGAAATGAAACAATCTCTGTCCTCAAGAACCTTACCTTCTATTGGGGAAGACAACATGGACATAGATGAGTGTATTCAAAATAAACACAAGGTCGTTATTGGAGGGAGGCACTAACACTTAGGGAAATCAAGGAAAAACTTCATGTAGAGGATAGCATTTAAGTTGAGCTTTGAGGAATATGAGTAAGTATTTAATGAAACACTAAAGTATGCTCCTGTACTAAGTGTTTTTAAGGAATTTACAATCTGTCCTTACACTCAAGGAACTTATCATCTAATTGAATTGTAGATTCATTATGACCTTTGAAAAGAGAATACATTGGAAAATGAGGATAATAACACCATATGTTCATTGTGTGATACCTGGATTATAGAGTGAAAGGTTTTCTCTTAGTAACTCGTATTGTACTTTCAGCTTATTGGAAGAAAAATACTATATAAATGATTATTATTATTCTGTAGTTTAAATACAGAGCCAATATTTCTCATTGAAAATGCTTTCAGGAATGGGGAATTCTATAAGGAAGGATGAAAAAGTACGACGCGAGTAAATTCAGACATTTGTAGAAAAGTAAACTGTTAAAGTAGAGACAGCATGCCTTTTGGATAGAGTGTTGGCCTTAGAGTCCTAAAGATCTGGGTTCAAATACTACCAGGACACATTAAATTTGTTTTTGTGGCCTTGGGCAAGTACTTAATCTCTCTGCCTAATAGGAAGCTGTGGAACAGTTGCTAATCTACATTGATCTGGGAGTTTCCTTCCCCAGAATTCTCTACACCATTGAAAACCTAGGTTGGGGCAGAAAGTATTTAAAAATTCTTTAGTTGCAAGTTTATTTCTATTTTTTCCTATTTGTGTTCAAAAGAAATAATTACACATTACTCCATACTATACTGCTCATAATTTGTTGATAGTTAAAAGTTCTCATTATTGTCATCCTACATACGCTATCCCAACAGGTGATGTTAATTTCAGATCAGAAAATGTAGTGACAGGAATATTGTCTTTTCTGTTACTACAGAGTACAACATTTCATTTAGATCATTAACTTTTAAAAAGCACGAGGCTGGCCAACCTGTCTCAAGGCTGTTCCATCAGATCTATCACTTTCATTATTGATAGCATAAGTCCCCATGAGCATTTGTTTTATACTGCATCTCTTTTCACTTGTAAGGTATCCTTTGCAAGTTACCTGAAACGGTTTTCACTTATTGACCTCATTTCAGTGTCCAATTACAGTTTCTATTTCATATTGTTGCAAGCTCTTAATGTAACTATTCCACTGAGTTCATAAGCTTTGGTACTTTCAGGTACTTTCCTGATTTTATAAATACTTCTTAGTTTATAAAGAAGATTGTGGCAACATTGAGTTTGAACATGTATCAAATAGAAGATAAAATTAATAGATTAGAAAAAAGAAGAAAAGGGCAGAGGGGACATGCTAAATTTAAGAATGCAACTATTGGTATTTCACTAATGTTAAAAGGTATTGTTCCAAAATAGTATAATGCACATCTTTTAATCCTCTTTGTTAGAACTCACCATTTTATCAGTACTAGCAATTATAAGGAAAATAAAGGCAGAAACAGATTTTTTTTGGTGTTAAATAGATTTTTTTTTACATATTAGCATTTAAAAATATTTCTATTTGATAGAATGCTTGACCCCTCACTTCATAGTCTTTAGGAAGAACCATACAGTTGGGACAGCTAGGTGGCACAGTGGATAGAGCACTAGCCCTGAAGTCAGGAAGACCTGAGTTCAAATCTGACCTCAGACCAAACACTTGACACTTAACTAACTAGCTGTGTGACCCTGGGCGAGTCACTTAACCCCAATTGCCTAAATTAAAAAAAAAACTAAATAAATAAAAGAAAAATTAAGAACCATACAGTCAAAATGAAACAAAATAATGCAGGAGGAGCAAAGGAGCCCTAGATTAATCATATGTCTGGAACACTCAGCTTTCTTCTGACTTTTAGACTTTTTACTCTCACATCTTCAGCTTAGTGTTTCTGACTAACCATAATAAAGACAGGACTCATCCTCTCCCATTTCTATTGCTTTTCTGTTTTTTCACCCTCTTTTCTCACTGAGGTCTAATCTTATTGTTTTTAACTCCTTCCAATCTAGACTTTAATAAAAAAAATCTATTTTTTCTTTTCTCCTTTCTTTCCTTCCTCCCTTTGGAGTCTGTCAATAGACTTATGAGAAATAGCAAAATCTTTTCTTTTGTGCTTTTGCTTTAAATTCTCCTTTGTATAGATCTTTGTACTGTGTTGCCTGCTAGCTTTAATAAAAATGGTTGATCAGATACACTTTTGAAGAATAGTTTGAATAAAAAAGTTGAGCTGCACAATTTTTCTACTTTAAATTACAGAGGGTTTGTTTGCTTCTTGGTTGCAATTTTAAGGTTACTTAATAGTGCTCAGAGTACAATGTATAGTAGTCAAGAATGTAGCTGAAAGTGAATGCAATCTGATGGGAAAGGCATCTGTTCCTTAGCTGCTAGATCAAAACTATTACTTCTCTCTAAGTAGTTTTTTCCCCCCAGGAGTACTTACTGTACCTAGTTTGCTTCAGGGTTCATCTTTTTGTTTAGTGGACCTTGTTGTCTTGTTTTGAAATGTACTTATGTTCCTAATATATTCTTTGTGCTAATTATAAACATGATACTATTACCAGCTTTACTGGTATCACTAAGGTACAAAAAAAAAGGGTACAATTGCAATTTTAGGCTTCAAAACTGATTTGGGGAACACTTATATGTCCTTCTAGAGGAGAATATTTCCTAAACTTTGCTTATGGTGGATTATATTGTAATAATCCAAGAAGAGGTCTTATATGTACTATGCTTTATGATAATTCTAAATGGTATATAGTGAGCTTGATAATGTTTCTCAAATGAATGTGGATTTTTTTTTCTTGAAAGGATGGAGTGGTTCTTGTTCATTGTAATGCAGGCATCTCCAGGGCCGCTGCAATTATAATTGGCTTCCTGATGAGTACCGAAGAAATCACATTTACCAGTGCCTTTTCTTTGGTGAAAAATGCAAGACCTGCTATATGCCCAAATTCTGGCTTCATGGAACAACTTCGAGCATATCAACAGTAAAAAAAAATATGGGAATAAGTAATTGGGCATAATAAAATTCGTGAAACAGATGAAGCCAACAGTTTGTGAGATGGCATTTTAACAGATGATGTGAAACTATAACTTCTCAATTGACCTTTTAAAACCAAGTTTTTAGCATAGAATAGCTGAAGCCAAATCCTTTCCTTTTGCTATCCTCAAAGTGGAAACTGAGGTGGCCTAATTATCTTGAGCTTCAGCCTAAATTAATTTAAAAAAAAATAATATTGCTTATTCTTCAGCATTTAAAATGCGTGATGGAATGCTTTTTTTGAATTGCATAGACCAGATAACATTGGTATCACTGATTATGTTAACTTCTTTGGAGGAAAAAAGTAAAAGCAGATTTGAAGTCTGTATTTGAACATTGAAAGAAGGATGAATTGATTGTTGAATACTTTTGGTGTTTTTCCTATTCCAGTAACTGTTCTGATGAAGAAAAATGCTGAAATACTGTTTGACTTGTGCATGTATTAGAAAAATAGTTATCACCTTAGAAAGATTTCTTTGTCTGCATTTCTTTTCCAATAAAAATAAATAGCTCAAACTCCCTGAAGGGCAAATTTACAACCAAAAGGTTTATTCAGAAGGTATACAATTGTAATATACAGAGCATTTGAATATCCTCTCACCAGAGTTCATTGCCTTTTAATTGTTTAGGGTTTTTTGTTGTTGTTGTTGTTATTGTTGTTTTGTCCTTTACCTGTTTGGTAGCTTTTGCCCCCAACTCCATTTGCTCCCCATCCCTACCCCATATACACAGTAATATGTTACAATATATTCTGATTTATATATTTTACTGTCAGGCATCTCTTCTCTTTCTAGGTTCCTTTTATACTTTTATTGGGTCCTATTTTATGAAGTTTTTGGAAGCCTTAGATTTCTGAAAAATATTCTTTATACTAAAAAGCCTATTTGTCATGAGTAAACTTAAAGCTCACATAGACAATAAAACAAAAATGGCTATAATCAATTTCACTTGATATTGTTCACTTCTGTTGTATACAATTCTTTAAGAAAAGCAAAAAAATTAAAATTAATAAATAATTTGGACCTGGTTCTCATGGACACGTTTTCAATCTCACCTCTGACTATAGACCTTGAATAAATTATTTCATTGCCTTTGCTTTTGTTTCTCTATTTGGGAAAGAATGATTTCTCAATATTACAAAACCACCTGGAGATTTTCTCTCCCAGCTCTTTGAAACTTTTTTTTAAAAAAACAAAAGCATTATTTCTATTAATATGTTATTGCTAATGATATGAAATATACATCCCTAATCCTGTTTGTGAAATTTATATTACAAGTTTTTCATTAGGGGCAGCAGGTTGTGCAGTGGATAGAGCACCGGCCCTGAAGTCAGGAGGACCTGAGTTCAAATCCGGCCTCAGACCAAACACTTGACACTTCCTTGCTGTGTGACCCTGGGCAAGTCACTTAACCCCAATTGCTTAAAAGCAAAAAAAAAAAGTTTTTCATTAGTATTTAATAATTGAGGAAGTTAATGTAAGCTACAGGGGAATTTTTTTTTGATTGTCATAAACATAGCACATTTGAACAACAGTATTCCGTGAAAATAAGTTGAAAAGTGTACATTGAGCACAGCTGTGCAGATGAGAAGGTATATATTCTATGCTGCTCTCACAGGCAAAGGGCTGAAAAATGATAGATAACAGGTTGTGTGCTTTGAGAGAAATAATTGCTGGAACAGTCTCCAGAGCTGAAACCTCTCATAGCATACTCATCCTAAGAAGCAGTATAAAATTAACTAAAGTGACCAGTTTGAAAATGACCAAAGCAAATGTCCTATTGAATGTTAGGACTTCTTTCTCTGTGGTATTCTCTTTAGTCATTTTTTGCCAAGAATTCATAGATTTTCTAGATGACCCTTCTTTCTGCTAATGACTGCATTGATGTGAATATATTTTCTTTTTTCACGGTGCTGTTAAGTTTTAGCTTACTAAGAATTGGGACATAATGTACATTATATGTCACAGAACATGTAATTTGGCATAGAATTTATATCTGGAGTTCTGGTCTGTGTCATTCTGGTTTTATGACACATGACATGAATTTACCATACCTTCTTTCTAGTAAAGATCTTTCTTTGACCTCAACCTAATTTTACCTACAAACTGTCATTTGATGCCTCTAAGAATGGCACCTAAGAGATTAGATCTTTTAAAAAACTATTTGTTGGTGAGTCAGTGATAGGTCAGATGTATATTTGTGGTTGATTTCATGCAGAGAAATTAATCTGTAGGCCTTATCTTGGTGGCATAAAGATATTTTAAAAAGAAACTTTATTATGATCCCACTAGCTAACATTATGAATCAAAAATATATGTAGATACCAAATGTCACTGTTTTGGTAGAGAAAAAAAAAGTCCCATATATAGGCCCATCTGTGCAGTAGTGATTTTGGCTGAGTCCCTGAAAATACAACTTCAAAAATTTTTTTCCTGTCACGCTTAATTATTTATATCTAGACTAAGAGAAAAAATAAAGCTCATATTTGCTCAAAATTCTAAATAGAAAAGAAATAAAATATGGAGTACTTCACTTATTTGAAGAGGCAGGCTATATATTGGTTTAGATAATAAAATTCCCCTTTTTAATTTTCAAGTTACTTTTTGTTTTACTTAGGTAACTAAATTTATTTATATAATACTTAAAATTTATCCAATGGTATGAATAATTTTTGGAGTTTATATGAACTTGAAAATCTCATTCCTTTCCTTTTCCCCATGTATCACTAGATTTGAGGCAAAATGTTGATCATGATGTTAGACCACTATGACAACAACACTGAGAGGAAGAAAAATATAATGTTTTAAATTCTTATTGATACTGTTCTTTTTTTCCTTTCTTTTTCCATTAAGATGTATAAGCATAGCATTTGGAAAGCATTCTTCAGGAACTGGGCAACCTACTTTCTTTTTGACTGAATCATTTCAATGGAAAAAAAAAGTAAAACTTGGCAAGACAAATATCAGTGAGTCAGGCATTTCAAATGTGTGAGGAACTCAAAATGTTCCTAATACTGGAAGGAAGATTTTTGAGTGTGACACAATGAATTTCTCAACTATGTACTTAGATATACTTAGAACAAGTTACCAAGACGAATGAGTATAAATAGACATACAGGTACATGACTGAGCCTAAATGTATAATGTCAGTCCTTACTGGCAGGAAAAAAACAAAACAAAAAACAAACTTTTGGAAGGGCTCAACAACAATTTTAGCTACAACTTAGTCATTCTTTGTAACTTTAAGCCAGTTTAGATGGAAGGTTTTAGAATTCTTGTTTATAAATGTAACTATTTCTAAGATTTTTCGTTGTACTATTATGTTACCATTCATGTGGGTGCAGTCACAGTAAGAAACCTCAAAGTGTTTGCTTTGTTTTTTGAATGGTTAAAGTTTGCCTCGTGATTCAGAAAGTGAAAGACATTTATTTTGTGTGCATATTTGTAATTATCCTGCACCAAAGTACTTTTTTAGGTGCAAAAATACTTGATTTTAAAATAATAAATTTTATGTTTTTTCCTGTGTCAACCTTTTAATTTCTTTGTGAGTTTTTGTTTTAAAATAATTAAAATGCTTCTTGTATTCAAGTTAACTAAGAAAACCTGTTGATCACACAACTGAATAATTTTAATTATCAGTTACCTTTGAGACTTTAGATAGTCTTTGTGACTTAAGTCATTCCAAGAAAGTTTGTTTTTGTATTAGTGACGAGCAATGGGGGAACGTAATTTTTCTTACTACTGAAACAACAGTACAGAACTCAATGTTAGAGTTATACTGTAACTTTCAAATATAGTAACCCCTAAGGAACACCATGCTAAGGGATCCAAAGAGAATACTCTATTTGTATGAATTTAACTCCTAAAATGAGATCTACTTAAAAAAAAAGAGATAGTTTTTGCTATCATATTTTTGTGACCTTATCCATGAGAGTACTCCATTTAGCAGGGTAGACCAAAAACTATCCATTCCCTCTTATCTGTGTACTTCTTATCCATGTCCTCCTATAACTTCTTCATGAAGAACCCACCCTATTTAAATAAGACTTTGACTCCAAAAAATGGAAAATGAACAAAAGTAAAGACGTTATTACCATTTCTTAGAAAAGTTCAACCAATGCAAAGGATAAAAAAAAAAGGCATCCAAGCAAGAGGTCAAAAGAGCCCAGAAATTAACCCAACAAAGGTACTCAATCTCTTTGCCAAATAGAATGACAGAATAGTCAAAGGCAACACTAGTTTAGAATACAAGTTCATTTGTAAAACATTATGAAGGAGAAAAATTATAAGCAATATTTTACCTCATGAAACAGTAAAAGCAATTGGGAAGAAATTGAACCAGTAAAAAGTTTGACAGGAAAATAACCCAGCCCAGATTATTCTGAGGAAATTTGTGAAACTGGAAGATGGAATTCAAATGAGGAAACTGGACAATATTCCTCTTGTGATGTAAGTCTCATTCATGGCAATAGTGAAGCCATTATATTTAGTTTCTACCACTTCAGTATATAAAGAAATAGCAATTGGCACTTAGGAAGATGAACCTGAAAAGAAGAGCTGTATTTAGTCAAACAATAAATAAATATGTGCTGGGGGGGAAATGCAATTTCAAAGGGACTCAGGGAACAATTTCTTAGATAGCAAAAAAAAAAAGGAAAAAATTCAAAAAGAAAATATCACAAATGCTATTTTTAATCCCCAAAAATGACAACTGAGAAGACATTATCAACCCATATGCCTGTTTACATACTGATATAAGATCATAGAGTCATATGGCTTCTAAGGTCCAGTCTCTTCATTTTATGTATGACTAAGCTGAGGCTCAGAGAGACTAAGTGATTTGCCCAAGGTCACAGTGGTAGTAAATGCCAGGGCTGTGATTCAAATCAGTATCCTCTGATTTCAAATCCAGCACCCTTTCCACTACATCATATTGCCTGTACTTCAAGGAATAGAAATTTGTCAGAGATAGTCACTCCCCTCCATTGTCATGGAGTAAACAGCCCCTCTTTATTTGAATAGAGTGTCTTTAAAAGCATCTATGGCCAAAAAGAACATCACCCCTCAACCAGCCATTTGGTAAGTATCTCTCAACTTACACATATTACACCTTATATCACATTACACATTATATCACTGCATCTATATCTAAAGCCTTTCCAGATTGGAAGAACCTGCCAGAATTTATCCTTTGCTGAGTAAGTTTCAAGAGCCAGGAGTCATCTCCAAGAAATGATGAAGCCTTAGAATAGGACTTAAGCATAAGGTCTATTTTCACACCTTCATGATATCTTTATGAAAATGGCTCATGCATGCATTGAGTATATCTTTGATTAAAAAAATCCAAAGAAAATAGGATTTCAAAGATTTTTCTGTAACAGACTATTGCTTTGCATTCATGCTATTCATGCACAGAAAAGGTAAAAAGTTCACTGTCTATTATTTGTTGATATCTTAAAAGTATATCATTCAGTAAAATAAAACGCTGACTTAAAACTCTTCTTAAATAATGTATCTGTCATGTATGTTTAAAATAATAAGATTCTATGACAGATCCAACTGTGCAGTAACTTTTTTTAATGAGTCATCAAATATTAGCAGCAAATCAAACAGAGAAACACATGTTTACCCGAGGTGGCTGCCAGTATCATGGAGGATATTCTGCACAATTGAAATAGAAGATGGATTCCTCATTGATGATAAAAATCTATAAATGTTTTATTCATAGATAGCAACTTACTAATTCCATTAAACCTAAAATATTACAAAGCATCTTTGAGGAAATCCATTATTATTCGAGAGATTGTTTTAATCATCCACAATAGAAAAATAATGTGGTTGAATAATGCATACTGTCCAGATTCTGACATGTAGACATGGAGGGATAGACTACTAAGTCTTTCAACATGTATATTCCTGGACAGATGATCCACATGTTTAAATTGGGTCCAGAAGAAACTGGGCTGGATCACATTTGGGAAATTCATAATGCTTTCAGTGCTCCTAAGCTGTTCAGTGATGCAAAATCCCTTTCATCTCTATAACACCAATATTCTCATGGTAATACTATAATTCCATGTCATGAGAATTAAAATTTTAGGTGATCCAAATGGCAAAGAAAGATACATTGTACATGGAAGGAAGCTTCAGAATATTGCCAATAGTATGTGTTTTTGAAGTGGCATAATATATATCATCGTGGAAAACTGCCCTAATATCTTAGATCCAGAGGAAAAAATAAAAGTTGAAAGAACCCACCAATTACCTCCTGAAAGAGATCCCAAAATGAAAACTCTTAGGAATATTATAGCCAAATTCCAGAGCTCTTGGGTCAAGGAGAAAATGTTTCAAGCAACCAGAAAGAAACAGCTCAA